TTTGTTGTGCAAAGGGTGGGCAATTCACGGCCTCTTGGCCGGGGCTGGGGCTCCTGCCCCTCCAGAGCTCAACCTGCAGCTGCACCCAGAGCTGCTGGCACCCCATGGATGCTCAACAGACCAGTCCAACACAGGGACACAACCTGGCTGGCTCATCCGGGGGCCACCACGTGTGTGGGAAGCACCACCATCGCTGACACCAGGATGTCCTTCCCACCGCTTGTTTTCAGAAAGATCACCACTGAATATAGAAACACTTGCCATGACGCCATTTTCTGTTCTCCTAATGCTGGATACATTAGGAGATACCAGGGTTATCTCCCTTAGCCTTTTCAAGTTTGCCAGGTCATTCCTAAATCAACTACTACTTTTCTAAAGAGATGACTGAGCAATGTGCTGTAAATGCTATGAGGCTGAAAAAAATGCCTACATTCAAAGAAAACAAAAAGCACATCACTTGGGAAGAATTCTTTTCCTCTTCTGCAAACATTTCCAAACCCACATGAGATCAGAAATAATCATGGATGAAAAGAACAAGTAAGCAGTTCTCACAATAATTTGTTACTATTCAGTTTCCAGACAATACAGAAATTTCTTCCTAATTCAAAAGCAAATAAATTAATGCAAGAAAATTAATTCTACCGTATCCCTTCCTGTCCTATGTGCCAAGCTGGTAATACCTCAGCATTTATCTTTCTGTGTTCTTGAACAGTTTTCTGGCCCATGACTAAGACTCCTCGGCGCTGCAGAAATGCCATTACTTCAACAACAAAGCAACTGGAAAGGTTTCAATATTCATGTTCTTCAAATATTCTGCATAGAGACACAACAGTGATGCAATTCTGGAATTCAGGATCTCTCAGTTGGTATTTCAAGTTGTACATGGAGTAGGACACCATTTATTTTTGAGGTTAACTCAGCTCTCAGACCACTGAGTTATTGATGCCTCAGCAATGTCAAAGGTCTTTTGCTAAGAAGATACTCAAGCTTTTGGCCCTTCTGTTCCAGCAAAGGCTCACAAAGCAAAGGGATGTGGCAAAGCAGACAAGTGAGCAGCAAAGAGACAAGGGAATTGGCAGACTTGTTCTGCCCTTGGTCCCACCATGATTAACTTGGACCAAGCAGGATCTAGGTTGCAATACATTCACAATTCTCATCCTGTATTTGAACAGGCAAACAATGCAATAAATTCATTAAGATAGGTTTGTTCAGACAAATAAAAAGAATTGGCGTAATTTCTGCAGTTCCCTTTCCTTGTTGTACTAGCAGGACTGCTCACAGAGGGCTCCATGCACCACCATGAGTGATTACTTCCAGTTAGTAGAGCTGCCTGCATCATATAGAATGAAAAAGACACACAATATACTCTGGCAAATTACACATTATCAACCCAAGCATCCTGCAAACCGCACTAACCTAACCAGAACGTACAAATTAAAAATTACCTCACACAGGGTCAACACTGAAATAAAACAAATACACTCTGCATTTACAGGATAGCTGCAATTAAGAGTAAATTTTAATCAGAAATCAGACTACATTAATACTTAGCAAGCTTTAACAGCTCTTCTTTTTCAACTCAAATGCTCTACAACCTTTGTCACTTTGAAGGTCACATGATTCATATCATGCCTCTTTTTTAAAAGGTCTTTAGACAACCTTACAATACCCACTTGCTCTTTTCTCCAAGTCCTCTGACTTCTCACCCTTTTATTGCCTCCAGTCAACCTACACTTCTGATATAGTTACCCTCAATTTTTAAAGGTCTAACTCTCATCTTATTAAAACTGATGAGAAATCCATAAGAGTTGCACTGGAACCACTGTCATGCAATGGTATTGAGCACATTTAGGTACCCAGGAAACAAACAAAAAAGCATGAAGGAAAAGGGAAGTTCACCCTGCCACGTTCATGGCAAGAAGCCAGAAAAAAATCTCTGAGATTTGTTTTTCTAGAGACTGCAAGATCAGGGTAGAGGTCTGTATTACTTCTGAAGTAAGACTCAGGGAGAATTTAGGGAGGGATGTTATGTAATTTCCCCTTTTGGTTGAATTCTGCATTACCTAGCAATGATAAAGGCTGACTGGTAGGTAACAGGATAGTTACCTGTGCATCTTCAGCAATTTGTAAAGTCTGGTTTGTACTTGTTTACGCTGACTTAGACTTCACTTCTTTCAGACTTCAGTGTGGTGATGAACATGGAAAAGATGAAATACACATTTTGGCACAAAAGGTATTTTCCTGCAATACTGAAGCTGAGCTGAAATGTTTATTGGTTTGGTTTTTGGTTTTGTTTGGTTGTTTGGGGTTTTTTGGTTGTTAAATCTGTGCAAAGCACAATTCCACTGCTGAACAGTACCTTAGGCTCTCATAAAAATAATATATAGGAATGACACAAAATACTTGAAAAAATAGGGGACTGTTGTTTGACTTTAATCATTGCTTTACATGACATTTCAGATTATGTTTCCTTGAGAGCTTTCAACAACCTGACTTTATACTTCAGAAGTCATCTGCAAAGCACACTTCACAGTACCTTGACCAATAACAATGCCACTTTCTCTCCAATTAAATAAAAATTCAAGCACAGCACTTCAGTGCACCTTTATAACTCTCTTGAACCTGCCTACTGAATCAATACTCAAGAACAGAATAAAAGTACTAGTAGCAAGTTGTCTTGGCACTATGCACTGCTAAAGCCATTTTTGAAGAGTTATTCTCTGGCACAATGGCTTCAAGAAGAAAATGGTTATTATTCTCTCCATTTCAGAGCACGGAAACAACTAAGCGAGCTACTTGAGGATAAAAAACCCAAGAAATAAAAACCAAAAGAAACAAGGCTGAATTTGAAGTTAGAACCAAAACAGTCTGGGATTTTTCTGTATTTTTTTCCCTTTCTGACAGGAAACGTGGATTGGTCAAAATTAAAACCTTTGATGCAGATGCAGTGAGAAGATTTCATCAGCTCAGGATGGCAATTTATTAGTTAGAGAGAAAGGTAAAACGACATGTATGTGGAAATAGCATTATTTTCCCACAAATTAGCCAAAATCCAGATATATATGTTTTCAACACTTTGTAGCACAGTAAGTGAAACATCTGAATGCCTTTAGATCCTGGTGCAGTGTCACCCTGGAATGGGAGAGCTGGTTCCAGTAGATGGAGCTCCAGAAAGGCAATGAGGACTCAAGTTCTCCAGCAGCTTCACTAACACAGACTTTCAGGACAACCTGCCCAGTCTAGACAAAATTCAGCAAACTCCTTCCTGCTTCTCAATATTTTTGCAAACATTCTTCCCCACATTCAAAACCTCCAGAAGGACAACACAACCAAAACCTGTCAGCCTGCTGCCACTGTCAGCACAAACACAACACCTGGAGGTCATTTAATGATGTAATTTAAAATCATTACTGCAAACACAGGGCCTACCTTTCCACCCTGGAGTTAAAAAAAAATACTAAAAAAATCAGTGGTCCAGTAAAGAATTATTAAGACAGAATATGGGAACAAAATTATATAAAGCTCCTAAAAAGATCACAGAATCGTAGAATGGCCTGGGTTGGAAGAGACCTTAAAGATCATCTTGTTCCAACACTCTGCCAAGGGCAGGGACACCTTCCTCCAGACCAGGTTGCTCAGAGCCCCATCCAACCTGGCCTTGAACACTTCCAGGTATGGGGTTATATATATAAATACTAACAGACATGTCATTTTGGATCATTAGCAGGTCTAACAGTCTGGATTTTAAAATCTTACAGGATTTTGCTGCTTTAAATGCCGCTAGACCACCTCCTTTGGTCTCTGTAATAACTCAAACATTATTATCAATGCCGTCAAAAATGAGCATAATTGAGTAGCTTATACAATCTAAAGTTTTCCATCATGATTTCTGCAGATGAACTAAAGTCTCGGGTTCATGTTTGCTGTTTTCAACTTAAAGATAAAGGGAAAGCATGCAGGCAGAAACAGAGCACACCACCGCTCCCAACACTCCATGAAGAACCACGAACGGACCCATTACCACTCTTCTAGAAAGCGATTTGCTGACCTCTCCACAACTGCACTCTTAAAAGCTTCTACTCCTACATAGATTATAAAGCAGATTATCACAGAAGTCTGATGTCAAATGGAAAATCCACAAAGAGACCTTTAACGCAGCCACGTCTAAAATTTAACACGCCGTCATCACCAGGGAAGAATGTTATTTACAGACTGATTCAGCTTTAGAAGAAACGATTCTCTCACACGCACACAAGGGAAGTTTATGTATTTTAGGGGCAGTGGGAGTGCACACCTGGAATGGAGAAAGTTATCCACCTGCAGCTCGTTCATGAGGGCGAGCAAGAAGGTGTTGAGTTACAGAGTAATTAATGCCAGTGTTGTGCTGTCAAGGTGTGTTGCAAGCTGTTCAAACAGGAGCTCAAGGAAAAGGATCTGGTCTTCCACGCTCTTCCACAGACATGACACGCTCTTCAACACCACTTTGAAGCCCAAAGTCAATTTGCATATAACTCCTGGAGGGCTCCTGCTCAGGAATGTAATTAGCTTAAGCTAATGCTTTTGTCTAAGGAGAAAGTAAAAGCCCTGAAAGTGCAAAAACCAGTTTGTGCCCCCGCAGTCGCTGCGGTCGGGGCGGGGTGGGGGGGTTGGTGTCAGCGAGCACACAGGTGGTCAGAGCCGGCTGCTGTGTCAGCCTGGTGGCCACAGCGGCCCGAGGGGTGGCCCGGTCCCCACCTGGGCAGCCTCAGGCCCGCGAGGATGAGACGAGGTGGCACCGACCGCCCGTCGGGAGCAGTTCAGCGGGGCCAAACTCGACTGAGCGCCCCAGACCCGGGGAACCCTCCCGCCCTCGCCCCCTGCAGCACCCGGACCCTCCTTTCGGGGTGGGCTCATCCCACCGCTCATCCCGCCCGGCACGGAGCATCCCCAGAGCGCCGGGGGAGGCGGCGCTGCCCCCCGGGGACCCCCGGCCGGGCCCCCGCCCCGCCCCAGCCCCGTACCGGGCGCCGGCGCCGCCGGCCGGGCAGGAGTCCATGGAGGCGTCGCGACGGGCAGCGGGAAGGGCGGGCAGGGCTGGCGCTGCTGCTGCTGCTGCTGCTGCTCCCGGCGGCCGCCGCAGCCGCCTCGCATGGTGTGGAGCGGCGGCAGCCGGAGCTCGGCGCATGTTCGGGCAGGGCCGGGCCGGGCCGAGGGGCCGCCCCCGCAGGTGAGCGGCTGCGGCAGCGCCCGCCCCCGCCGGGATGGGATGGGATGGGTTGGGATGGGGTGCCCCGGGGTGACGGTACCACCGCAGCGCTCGGGCGGGAGCCGGGCGTGTCGCCCCGCACCGGTGCGAAGGGCTCGGGGAAGAGCTGAGGGGAGGGCTGTGTGCTGGAATTGGAGTCGTTCATTCCCCTCTGAAGAAAGAGCAGGAGGAAAATCTCATTCCTATTTAGCCAAAGTTTTAAGTTAGCCTGAGCTCTGTACCTGCTGCCACGGCGGGATGTGCCTGGGTGCACCCCCTGACCCCAACAGAGGGGTCGGCGAGTTGTACCACAGGTGTAACACCCCACAGTGCTCACACCTCAGGTGGGTCAGGCTGTGAACAGATTATTTAATAATTTAATTTAAATTATTTAATTTGTTAATCAACATAAAATGAACAAGCAAATAAATATTTAATTTAAAAATGAAATATTTACCTCTCTTGTTAATGAAAACTTAACCCACTGAAATTGCAAGTAGATACGCAATACTGGAAAAATTGTTTTGCTTTGGCCATTACATATGTTATAATCGTATCAATCACACAACTTCGGGGTTACGGGGATAAGAGTTCAGAAAAGATTAACAAAAGAAAGGAGCCTGTGGAAGGAAATGAACAGGGGAGAGAAGGCAAAGGTATACACGGCCGAGGGAGTGGCAGGACAAACAGAAGGACTGGGTTGACATAAAGAAACAATGGGCACATTAACGGGAACAGTGGGTGTAGAAGGTTAAAAAAAGAAAGAATTTATTAGCTGCACACTGACAATGTGGCTCGTGATGTGAGGAACAAGGAGGCAGCAGGCCTGCCCCACACTCCAGTGCTCGGGGAGCAGCTGCTCCCACAGAGGAGCCAAGATAAGTGACGGGAGCACATCGACTGAGGCATGATTCCTTAGTCTGACAACAGGCAAGACGTCATGATTGCCTTAGCTAACATTTTATCTCAGTGAGTGATGGTGTAAGGAGTGGTGACAAGCACCTCAACAGAGCTGTTCCCATACACATGCTCAACCACATTTCTCAACACAAAATACCTGTTTACATAAATTTAATTTTTTGAATTGTGAAGCTCGTACGTTCCAGCTCACAGCTTTCAAATGAAGCAAAACTTCCCGTGTAGTTCTGTGCTTCAGACACAGACCATTTTCAATAGTCAGTCATTTTCATATTTAACCTCAAGAACATTTTTATTAGTAACCACCCCTGAATATACTCTAAATTGCTTTTTACAACTTTTAAGAATTCTCTGTTGTAGTGACAAAGTTAAAAAAAGCTAAAACGGACAAATCTGCATCATTAGCTTAACTGCAGTTTGAATTAGTCATTCCCTGAGGCATATTATTGTATGTTTGAGAATAGCTGTGCTTTTATATCTGACAGTAAAATAAATATTTTAAGATAAATGGATAGCATATTATGCAAAATTAGAGACTTTAAATATATGAGTATAACATTCAACAAGTACTTTATTTGCAGTTTTCAGCATTCAGGATCACTGGTTTGAACCTCAACCGAGTTATTTATTCAGTAAAAGTTATTACTAGGCCCAAAATGAGATTCATACTCCAAACTCCTCAGAACTGTTTGGAACTCAAAGACCAATGCTCTATTACAGAAGAGTATTTAAAAACAAGGTATTAATAGAACTTCAGATAAGTACAAAAAAATCTACAAGAAGGATTTTACCTAAAAATCCACTGAGTCTTTCAAAATTAGTTTTTTCTTTACAAGTGACTGCATCTGTTCATGTAGCATCCCAGGAGAGACTGCATTCTATAGAAAACAATCCTAATGACCTTCTGGCTTTGAATACAAGAAGTTCAATGCTACAGAGCAGAATAAATTATGAGTCTGGCCACACAGGAAAACCAGTCTGAGCAGATCAGGATGAGTCTGTCTGGTGCAAACCTGAGACAGCTGACAGTCTGCAGTGTTACAGGATCTCTTATTGGGACAGACCCCTGAAGCCAAAGGTAAGAATTTCTCCCTGTATTATCAGCAAACTAAATCCTCAAGCAAATACCTCGTTCAAAGCAGCACTTCTGTTAAATTCTTGATCTATTTCCAGTAATTTGTATAGTCCTGGAGTGCAACTGGCTGCTTATACCAGCAAAGAAAACACCTTATAATATCTCTCCTACCTACAGGATACCCACAAGTAAAATGGGATAAAATTCCTTTTACTCTGCACAGGATTGTCTTTCCAGATTACTGCAGTTGCACAATACACTATCAGACCCATTATCACTTAGAAAACAGGAAATGGGTTAGCATTAAGTGGTTTGGCCAAACTCATTTACTAAATCAGCAAGATAACTAGAAACAACATCCTGACCTCAAACAATGCAGCATTTTTCCCTCTATCAGCTACCTGATCACCTGCTCTAAAAACTAATGCTCTTTGTTTTCAGTTACAATCTAAGATCCAGACAGATCTCTCCATTTTAGCACAGCAGGAATTTTGAAGTATTCTGAGCAAGGAACAGCAATGCAGCTGGTGTTATTTATGTATTTTTTTGCTATGCCTGTTTCTGTAGAGGTTGTGGATGAAAATGACTGATACTACTGACCTAGACTTGATGGCTTGTCACCTGACAAATTAGAAGTTCCTTTCCATTCTTCCTGGGATAACAGTCATAGGCCAAAATTTACTGTGAAGCTTCCCACAAAAAACCCCAATGAGGAGTTCTCATACTCATCTATAGCCTATAAGCACAAAAGGAAAATATTTTTACTTTCTTTTTTCCCCTCTCCTTGACTTTTCCCCCACAGGAGAAATTCCTTACCATTACACTGTCTTCCCTCCCTTTCTTTCCAGTTCTGCAGCTTTCTTCATTTTAGTCTCAGAGCTCCCTGGAAACACAACTCTGCAGAGAATTCAAGAGGTCAGTAACACTCACATGGGCAACTAAAGCTCCACTCTACCTACCAGAAGTGCAAACTTCAAACTTGCATCAAGAAGGATCTTCAGTTTGGGAAAATTACTGTCTACTTCCAGTATGAACTGCTGACTCTTTTCTTTAATTTGACATTGCCTTTTGTTTTATAATTGCACAAGGCAAACAAATCCTCTTCCGTTCTGTCAGTATTGCAAAAACAGGTTACACGTCCATGCACACAATGGCTTCGAAGACTCCGGCTAAAGCACGACTGAAACATTCCAATACTGAACTCATAATTCTGCAAAATATTCAAATTCTGAAACAGCCAATTGAAACTTAAGTAGGTAAATGAAACTGATGACAAGTTACTGTGGAAACAACAGGAGGCAACACAGTTCCGACAGCTGGATGCTATTTCTGGAAGAGGTGACCCACAGCGGGGGCATCAGGTGGCAAAGGCCAAAGAAATAAGTAAGTCCAACATTGAGGTCCAACACAACAGCTTTTCAGTATCAAGCAGAAGGGTTTGCATTCACTGTCACATCAAATCTCCTGGCTTAAAGTCCACTGTGCTGAAGCAGATGGCTTTCTAGAGAATTCTGCTCAGCCCAGTATGTCAGTTCCTTCATTAAGCACCATTATTGCCATTGTGTTCCTTGTCAATACTTCAGAGTGATGCAACAGACTTAACATTAATCCCCTGTACACTGTCCAATACAGTTTTTAGGTTAGTGGATCCAGATAACTTGCCTTGGAATTGTAACTGTCAAGTGTCCAGTGCATCTGCCAGACATGAGATAATCTCTCTAGAGTTCAAAGGTATCCTGTGAATGCAACAGAAACTTTTATATGACAGAACATCATCATATAGGAAGTCAGACAGTGAAAAGAGGATATCAAATTGTCAAGATGATTAGCAACCATCTTCAATTTCATCAAAAAGAGTGAAATGGACTGCACACAGTTTGGAGGGGAAAGCAGGTTGAAAGTAGCACCACCAGAGGCAAAATGCATCTGAGATGGAAACTTGACAGGAGACTTAAGAGAAAAAGGATGGACAGCCCACAGATGGCTTCAAATAGCCTCAAGAATGTGTGTGAACCTGATAAAATTAATGAAGACATTACATTGCCTAATTCAACTGATATCTCATTAAAAGAAAATAGGCAAAGAGATTTGGGTCCACTTAGATGAATATATTAATTGATATATTATACTGTAACAAAAGGATCAAAGACACATGTAAATGGTTGTTGGAACTCCTAAACCTCTGACCAAGCCCTCTATGCCTTGACATAGGGGGACACATTATGCTGACAGACATATTCAAAAGGATCATATATGCTGGGTCAAATTAAAGACCCCTTGAGCCCTGTATGTTGGCAGCAGCCAGTAGAGCATGCTTCCATATTTTCACAGATAAACCTTAAGTATCTAAACATTTGGGCTCTGTAACCCCTGTGCAGGCAGAAGACTCTACTCTTGCCCCCTCCTTGGGCAAGAGTAGCCTGAATTTTCTTTGAAGCTGCCACAAGTCCTGATGAAGCAAGTGACAGCTGGGATTAGTGTGCACTTCAGCTAACCTCGAGATTCAGGCAACTTTTCTCTCTGAAAATTAACCCACTCCCACCAGGCTACAACCAGAATATCTTATATTGCATTACATTCACTTGTTGCTTTACAGCTCACAGCACCCTCTTGAAAAAATAGGCAAACAGTTCACATTTATGAATTTAAACTTTATTTCTTCATAATTACAGGCTATTGTTAGAGTTTTTAAACAAAAGGGAAGTCTATAAATAGAGGCTAATCCCACCTGAACAAAGTTGTTTAAAAAAAACAGTTAAAACTTCATAAAGTAATGCCATTTTAGCTCACAGCAGTGGTTTGTTGGTAGTCTGAGTAAAAGTACTACAGTCAGAGTCAGTAACATGAAATGTAACATCAAATGACTCAAAACTTTAAATTCCGTAAAGGAAAGCAGGAATATATA